TTTTAAGTGTCGTTGTTGCTTTGTTTTTGTTTTTGATTATCGACTATTTTTATTGTTTAACAGTTTATGTTGTATGTAGATTTTGACCTGTTTCATTATGTTGCTGACGTCGACTCGGATATCGAAGCGGACTTCAATTCCGTATAAACGATTTTTAGTATTATATTGTCGTCGTTCTACTGATTTTAATGATCGAACTTCTTTTGATTTTGATTAATTAACTACATATTTTATTGCATAAACAATTTCAGTTTTTTTTTAATATTATAGTTGATATAATATTTAAATAACTTGGTGTTTTAAGTGTCATTGTTGCTTTGTATTTGTTTTTGATTATCGACTATAGTTATTGTTTAACAGTTTCTGTTGCATGTAGATTTGGACCTGTTGCTTTATGTTGCTAACGTCAACTCGAATATCAAAGCAGACATCAATTCCGTATAAACGATTTTTAGTATTACATTGTCACCGTTCTACTGATTTTGATGATCGAACTTCTTCTGATTTTGATTAATTGACTACATATTTTTATTGTATAAAATATTTCAGTTTTTTTTAATATTATAGTTGATTTTATTGTTAAATAACTTGGTGTTTTAACTGTCGTTGTTGCTTTGTATTTGTTTTTGATTATCGGCTATTTTTATTGTTTAACAGTTTTTGTTGCATGTAGATTTGGACCTATTGCATTATGTTGCTGATGTTGACTCGGATATCGAAGCATACATCAATTCCGTATAAACAATTTTTAGTATTATATTGTCGTCGTTCTACTGATTTTGATGATCGAACTTCTTCTGATTTTGATTAATTGACTACATATTTTTATTGTATAAACAATTTTAGATTTTTTTCTTAATATTATAGTTGATTTTATTGTTAAATAACTTGGTGTTTTAAGTGTCGTTGTTGCTTTGTATTTGTTTTTGATTATCGACTATTTTTATTGTTTAACAGTTTCTGTTGCATGTAGATTTGGATCTGTTGCATTATGTTGTTGACGTCGACTCGGATATCGAAGCGGACATCAATTCCGTATAAACGATTTTTAGTATTATATTGTCGTCGTTCTACCGATTTTGATGATCGAACTTCTTCTGATTTTGATTAATTGACTACATATTTTTATTGAATAAACAATTTTAGATTTTTTTCTTAATATTATAGTTGATTTTATTGTTAAATAACTTGGTGTTTTAAGTGTCGTTGTTGCTTTGTATTTGTTTTTGGTTATCGACTATTTCTATTGTTTAACAGTTTCTGTTGCATGTAGATTTGGACCTGTTGCATTATGTTGCTGACGTCGACTCGGATATCGAAGCGGACATCAATTCCGTATAAATGATTTTTAGTATTATATTGTCGTCGTTCTACCGATTTTGATGATCGAACTTCTTCTGATTTTGATTAATTGACTACATATTTTTATTGTATAAACAATTTCAGATTTTTTTCTTAATATTATAGTTGATTTTATTGTTAAATAACTTGGTGTTTTAAGTGTCGCTTTGTATTTGTTTTTTATTATAGACTATTTTTATTGTTTAACAGTTTCTGTTGCATGTAGATTTGGACCTGTTGCATTATGTTGCTGACGTCATCTCGGATATCGAAGCGGACATCAATTCCGTATATACGATATTTAGTATTATATTGTCGTCGTTCTCTTGATTTTGATGATTGAACTTCTTCTGATTTTGATTAATTGACTACATATTTTTATTGTATAAACAATTTCAGTTTTTTTTTTTAAAATATTATAGTTGATTTTATTGTTAAATAACTTGGTGCGTTGTTGCTTTGTATTCGTTTTTGATTATCGACTATTTTTATTGTTTAACAGTTTCTGTTGCATGTAAGTTGCTTATCTTCGAATATGATTTTGATGATCGAACTTCTTCTGATTTTGATTGACTACATATTTTTATTGTATAAATAATTTCTGTTTTTTTTGTAAATATTATAGTTTATTTTATAGTTAAATAACTTGGTGTTTTAAGTGTTGTTGGTGCTTTTTTATTTGTTTTTGATTATCGACTATTTTTATTGTTTAACAGATTCTGTTGCATGTAGTTGCTCATCTTCGAATATGATTTTGATGATCGAACTTTTTCTGATTCTGATTTTGACTATCTTTGAATGTCATTACTGATATCTATGCAAAAAAAATTCCCGTTTCATGTTTCCATTTTTACTGGGTTACATTATTGCTGCTTCTTTCCTGGTCTGTATGTTTCGAAAATTTTAGGCTCTTGATCAAATATTTGTGGTATCTCTGTTCAACGTCTATTTTGAAATAAATACGCATTATAGGTGTTATTGGATTCTTTAACTTAATAATCTTCTTGAATTTAGTTAAAGGATCGTCGTTGCTTTCCCTATCCAAACGTAAATGATATTCAAGTCTCTCTTAAGAAGAAGTTCAATGATATTTATTATTCATAAGTCATCTAAAAATCTTCTGAGTGGGAGTGAGCGGTATTGTATCTTTCTAAACATCTCCATGTTGAGAGTTCTTCTGTTATCACGTATAAAGCAATCAGTAAGAGTATAATGTAACTCAAACAAATCGTTAGCAAGAGTAGACGTTACAGAATCATCAACTTGGTGTTTGTCTGTATGATCATCCATAGTTGTTGCAGTAGCGAACCATCATATAATATTGAATACTTGTAATTTCTATTTTATGAATTATTTTGCACTGCTGTTATCATTTCTATGGTTTCTGTTGATGGTACTGATATATCGTCTTTTTCGTTTCCTTGAGCCAAGGGTCTATCGGATACAGCCTCTCTACCCCTTGGGGCAGGGGTAAGGTCTGCGTACACTCCACCCTCCCCAGGGGTAAAAGTCTTGACGTTTTCTATGCATGTACGTGCGTACATTGTTCTGACTTCGATTAGGCCAGGTTTTCGTTGGGAGGTTTTTCATTGTTCCTTTTGTATTTGTTTTTGTATAGGCTCAGTTGAGCACTTGTTTGTTTGCCCCTTTCCACACTGTAAATCAAAGCCAAGGAACTATAGCGGAATGAAGTCGCACTATGCTGCGATACATAAGTCTCATCAGATTTCATGCGAATCAAAAGGGTTCCTCACATGTTCATGGCTAATAGTTCGAGAGAACAACATTTTAACGAGGTTCACTCAACGTGAGTGACATTTATTTTCTTTCTTTTATTAATAGTATTTGATTTAATGTAATTCCTAATGAGTAAATTTTTTTTTGTAGTCGCAACATCCACAAGAAGCCGAAGAAACATCGTGAGTGACATTTATTTTCTTTCTTTTATTAATAGTATTTGATTTAATGTAATTCCTAATGGTAAATTTTTTTTGTAGTCGCAACATCCACAAGAAGCCGAAGAAACATCCAAAGCAACGGCGACGCTGAGTGCTTTTATAATTTTTTCTAAACCTTATTTCGGGGTTTTCTTCTCGGTTCTTTCCCCGGATAGGTTTTGTTGAACCGGGGTTTTTTTTCTCGTTTACTTAGTTCAATTCCAGCAATAACGTTCCTTATTCTTTGTCTACAATGTTTAGCTAAATCCTAACTGAAAATACAATTGTAGATGACAGCAAGTGAAGTCAAAAGTATTAAACACTACAACAACGATTACCATCTCAGTTCCAAAGGTCGGGATCGTCAGTATAAATCATTTATAAAGCAAAATAAGAAAACCATCAGAGTCTCAATCACATATAGATCTGAGCAAGAGAAGCTTAAAGAAGCATAAAAATCAATTTTTTTAAAGAAACTGAAATTGGGGAGCGTACAAGATGAACTGAGAATGATACTTCAACAAACTATAGCATAATTTGCACAGCCAAGCGGAGAAAAGCAGCAGCAGAAACAGCCACTCCAACCGCACACAAATGGGAAGAGAACGAGACTAATATAAAGTTTACAATGATTCTCATCCTTGGCTTGGATTTGTAATCCATATGAATGCAGGCAGGCAGGTCAGAAAGGAATTAGTTATGAATTGATAGAAGTATTGAGCTGGCATCTACATGAAATACCATTTATTCCAAAGCCTTTGGTAACTTGCTATCTTTTTTGTTTATACTTCCCAATATATTCTCAGAACATTTGAAATTGGCTTAATAATTAAAAGTGAACAGCTAACACACACAAACAAAAATCACGAGAAAAAATCAAACAAAAAGATCACAAGAAAGGTCACAAATAAGCAGAAAGCTTAATTAATTGACTATGCGGGCGGTCAGTTGTTGGGACTTCATGGTAGACTCTCGGAGGGGATTAGCAGGTGTCCTTTGCTTTCTCATCATTATTCCATAGAGCAAACAATTGGGCTTTCAGTTTCTGACTACATATGATGATTGAAAAAGGTTGTGAATCTTGATTTGGCTATATGATCCTAAATCACATGCCATATTCTCATTGCAAATCTGCATCTACACTTGTTTAATACAAAGCAAAGAAAAGAACTCTTCTTACCACAGACAGAGTGCTAACCTGCCTGCGCAAGTTCATTTCCTAATTAAAAAAAGAGTCATGGAACATCTCAACAAGCTAAGGTACTTCCACACGACACACAGTTTCTAGGTACTACTACCACAGAGTACCTACTCCTCTCCACTAGAAAATGGCGACAAACAACTTTTATGTGATATTCAAACATAGAAAGCCTACGAATGCATTCACTGCTAAAAGATCACCAACAAAGTTCTCAGCTTTTCCAAATTGAACAATGGCATATAAGCCACCAGACATGTATTGTGACAGCTTTTGTTCATGTTCAAGAAATGATTCCGATCTTATGCACTCAAAAAAAAAAATTACTGTTGGAGTTGCTTTTGACCTTTTAGTGGAGACAAGTTATATTAAAGATCAGGTTATTGAGAAAAGTTCAGAAAGTCTCTCAAGCTTTAGAAAGTAACGGAATGATTATAAAAAAATAACAAGAATCTAAGAACACTAAAGTCTTTCACAGAAACCCAAAACATGAACCACCCACCTCTGCAAAGCGGAAAAAGCAATGAAGAACAAATAGTTAAACTTATTGAATTAACACGAAGATGCGAGATGGCTGGAGCAGCATAGTTTACTACCATTGGAAAGACATCAGATTCTGTATTCCTTCTTTTAGGAAAATGAAACTTCAATTAGAAGCTCAAAACACATTACCTCAACAAAGTTGACAGCACATATAATTTTTTCCCCGTTTAACAAGGTTTCCCGCACATAAAATAAGCATCTAACAAGCCGATTAACATGTCAAATGAGAAGATAAAATATTCATACCCTGAGCCTGTGATCTCCACCCACAATCTTTACACCAAAAGACGTGCTCCTCGTCATTTAGACGCTCTAATCTCTCCTTACTTGTGGTAGCTGGGAGTCCAGACTTAACATTCACTTCTCTGACACAACCAATTTCAAGGTCCCATTGCACGATGCACCTGCTGAGTGCTCACAAATGGTTTATATCTTTGTGGCTGATCAAACCTCCTCACTAATGATCAAACCTATCAAGTATACCAATACCCAGTAAGCACCCTGAAAAATATATGCAGTACATCCAGTATCTACATTCAAACAGAGTACAAGTAACCATTGAAACCCAAAACAGTCAAGCATTCTTCGATCTTATCCAGTAATTGCCTGACAAGCCTAAACAATTGAGATTAAGAACATCAATGAAATTAGGCAATGAAATGATTAAACATCTAGAAATCTTTCAAACTCACTGCATTTTCTACCGGATAAACAGCCTAAAATACATTATGTCCAAAGAAAGTTCAAAAGCATATAATTTTCAAAATCGGGGATAATGGGGTTCAAAAGCATATTATTTGTCTCTAAAACTAGCTTCCTCAACAGATAAAGATGAAGGTGATCACTCTGTAGCGACCATAACGAAGACCCCCACTCACCACCTCAAAAATATGAAAAACATTTTTCCCTATTGCACAGTTATTTCTCCACCCCAGCGGAGTAGAGGTAAGGTCCGCGTGCACACTATCCTCTCCAGACCCCACTTGTGGGATTTTACTGGGTCGTTGTTGTTGTTGTTGTTGCACAGTTATTTGTGAAAACTGAAATCCTTAATCTACGTTACGTAAAATAACTATCAGAATTTTAGTACATCATTCCAGCAGTAAAGTTCCTTATCTTGTTTGTCTACAATGTTAAGCTAATCCTAACTGAAAATATAATTGTAAACAATACCAACTCATAAAGCTTCAAAAGTATCCCATACTAAAACAACAACTGCATTTCAATTCCAAACAAGTTGAGGTCGTCACTATGAATCATTTATAAAGCAAAAAATTAAACTCATCAGACTCTTAATAACATGTCAATCACATATAGATCTGAGTTAGAAAAGCTTAAATTTGCATAAAAATCAAGTCTTTTTCCAGTAAACTAAATTGGGTCTACAAGAAAAGCTTAAATAAGCATAAAAATCAAATCTTTTGTCAAGAAACTGAATTGGGGTTGGGGGATTTACAAGAAAAGCTTAATGAACATAAAAATCAAATCCTTGATGAAGAAACTAAGTTGGGATCACTTACAAGATGAATTATAAAGCAAAAAATTAAACCCATCGGGCTCTTAAGTATTAATAACATGTCAATCACATATAGATCTGAGTTAGAAAAGCTTAAATTTACATAAAAATCAAGTCTTTTTCCACTAAACTAAATTGGGTCTACAAGAAAAGCTTAAATAAGCATAAAAATCAAATCTTTTGTCAAGAAACTGAATTTGGGGGGGTGGGCGCTTACGAGAAAAGCTTAAAAAAACATAAAAATCGAATCTTTATTCAAGAAACTAAATTGGGATCACTTACAAGATGAACAGGAGCTCTAATATGCTTTACGAGTGAAGATCTACACTGATTTTCCCCAACATCATGTCTATGATTTCTCCTAATACACTCATATTTAGTACTACGCCTCCTATCAAAGTTCATTATGCTGACCATCGACGCTAAGACAGTTCGCACCAGGATAGCTGGTATTGAAGAAGATCTTCCCACGTTAAGACGAAGCCCAAGAAATTCTCTCCCAACTGGCAAGGTCCTTACATGGTCCATAGGGTGCTAACAGGAGGAGCACTCGTACTTGCAGAAATGGATGGAGAAATCTGACCAAAACCAATTAATTCAAACGCAATCAAAAGATATTATGCTTAGACTATTTACATTTCCTCATATGATGTAATTGAACTACGCTTGACCTGATTCTCGTTTAAGAGGTGATACGTAGGCAGCCCTGTGTGTTCAGTTATATCATAATAAAATTTTCATTTTCCCCAAAATCAGAAATTGGGGCAGAATTTTGAGGAGGACCCTCAAAATTTTGGAGCAAGTCTAGCCGACGCCAACATATGTTAGACGGTCAGAAATAGAGTAAGAAACTAGGGCATAATTTTGATAAGGGTTCTCAAAATTCCGAGGAAGGGCCAGCAAGTCTCGTTACTCGCAAACGACCGAAGGATCATCCACCAAACTAGGGCAGAATTTTGAGGGTCCTAGTTCATCTAAAGTCGCTTGATATATCAATATGTTTCTAATATGACTCTTTTTATCAATAATTGTATATTTTCAAAAACTCTATTTCCGTAACAGTCAGGTATTACCCAGGGAAACTCGAAAAAGGCCTCCAGAAAAAAGCAAAGCAAGGCCAGCGGACAGTAGCATGAACCAACCTCCCCTCACAAAACTTACAATTTTTCTTTGAACACCGGCACATCTGACGTAGCGATAGCATCCGCAAATATATACACGTAGCAAGATCGGGCCATCAGACACCCAATATATCTCCAGCTAAGACATATACTACTCTTACTTGCTACTCACTCTTTGCATGGGACTAAGCCCTATCCTGCATACCTGCATGAGGCTAATCTTTGCCTCCCTATCTACATGAAGCTAATCCATGCCTCCATATATGCATGAGGCTAATCCCTGCCTCCATACTTGCATAAGGCTAATCCCTGCTTCCATAATTGCATGAGGCTAATCCTTGCCTCCATATTTGCATGAGGTTAATCCTTGTCTCTCTATTTGCATGAGGCTAATCTCTGCCTCCATAATTGCATGAGGCTAATCCTTACCTCTGTATTTGCATAAAGCTAATCCTTGCCTCCATATCTACATGAGGTTAATCTCTGCCTCCATATTTGCATGAGGCTAATCCTTACCTCTGTATTTGCATAAAGCTAATCCTTGCCTCCATATCTACATGAGGTTAATCTCTGCCTCCATATTTGCATGAGGCTAATCCCTGCCTCCATAATTGCATGAGGTTAATCCTTGCCTCTATATTTGCATGAGGCTAATTCATATCTTCATATCTGCATGAGGCTAATCCCTGCCTCCATATATGCATGAGGATAATCCCTGTCTCCATACTTGCATAAGGCTAATCCCTGTCTCCATATCTGCATAAGGCTAATCCCTGCCTCCATAATTGCATGAGGCTAATCCCTGCCTATGTATCTACATGAAGCTAATCCTTGTCTCCACATCTGCATGAGGCTAATCCCTGCCTTTACATCTGCATGCGGCTAATCCTTGCCTCCATATTTGCATGAGGCTAATCCTTGCCTCCATATTTGCATGAGGCTAATCCTTGCCTCCATATTTGCACGAGGCTAATACCTGCCTCCATATTTGCATGAGGTTAATCCCTGCCTCAATATCTGCATGAGGCTAATCCCTGCCTCCGTATCTGTATGAGGCTAATCCCTGGCTCCACATCTGCATGAGGCTAATCCCTGCCTCTACATCTGCATGAGGCTAATTCTTGCCTCCATATTTGCAAGAGGCTAATCCCTGCCTTCACATTTGCATGGGACTAAGCATTGTCCCTCCTTGCATAAATATCGATCTATTCCAGTACTATCTATTTGTTTTTTCGATTGGGCTAAGCTCTGCCTTCATTTCACAAGACTAAGCCTTGTGTTATTAACATCATATTATTGCATCTCATGGACTGAAATATCGCCGACCTATCCAAAGGCGTCATTGTCTAAAAGGCGTCATCCTCATAGCCGGAAGACACCATGTCATGGCCTGAAGATCTCTCAAATTTGCATATCACTATTCAAAGGCGACATGGTTCGGAGGCACCATTTTCATGGCCCGAGAACATCATTTCATGGACTGAGAATCCCTCACTGAACAATTCGTGGTCCATGATATCATGGTCTGAGGACGTCATCCTTAACCGTCCGAAGACAACTTTCATGGTCCAAAAGGGAATCTGCATCATGTTTAAATTTTTGCACAAATACTGTGAACACCTAATTTTTGACAACATTTAATTTTTTATCACTTCTTTTATGTAAATATTTTAGGAGGTTTTAACCTACTATTATTTTAGCTTTATTACACTTTTTATTATAGGATAAAAATACAAAACAAAAAAAATTAAAAGGTGAATTATCACTATTAATATTTTTTTATTATTTTTTGTTTTTTTTTATAAAAAATAATCCCAAAATATTATTTTTTAAAAAATAAAATAAAATTTCAGGAATGATTTAAAAAATAAGAAAAAGGGAAGTATTGAATAAAAAAAAATATAAAAGTAAAAATAGGTGGAATTTTCTTTTAAAAAAGTAAAAGAATGTAGAAAATTAAAAACAAAATTGTGGAAATTTTAAAAAATTAAAAAGTAAAAGAAGGATGGAATTAAAAAATAAATATAAAGGTATCTGAAAATTTAAAAAATTTAAAGTAAATGAAAGTAGCATTTTTAAAAGAAAAGGGAAAAGAAAGTGGTTTGTTTTTTTTAAAGAAAAGTTAAATAAAGTGAGATTCTCTTTTAAAAAAATAAAAAGTGGGATTTTAAATAAGATAAAAGTAGTTAAAGTTAGAATTTTAAAAATAAAAGTAAATAAAGGTGGGATTTCTTTTTCTAAAAAAATAAAAGCAATTTGTAAGTGGGATTTCTTTTAATTAAAAAAAAAACAAATCTGAAAAATTTCGAAAATTTTCCTATAAATAGAACAGAAAATTTAGGAAGAAGGAGGTTCAAAAAAAAAGAGAAAAAAATAGATAGAGAGAAGAAAAAAAAGAGGGGGCAGAAAGAGCGGTATACACTCGATGTACACTCTGGATAAACTAGATATACAGGGACAGAATTCATTCTGGAGAGAGTAAAAAAGATAGAACCAAATTTTCTG